TAATCGTTTAGCCTGTCCACCTATCTATCCATCCATATATCCATGTTTACCTTCACTGAGAACTCAGTACTGTATATGCAAAAGGGTTCATATTTGTTGTCTGTACCTCCCATGTACCTCTCTATGTCTTTCTCCCCTAAGTTTTAATATTAAGAACCTTAATAGATGGTTTAGAAATCTCCCTACTAAAATCTGCATTCTAAATAGCTTCCTTTTCCTTCCCTGTTTTCAGAAGCAAAAATGAGCCATACATCACTGTAGGCAAAAGAGAAATGGCTCCAAAGAAAACATCACTAGATATACTCATATCAGTGGCTTCCACCCCACAAGCGGCAAACACCTTGAAGCATCAATTTCCACTCAATCATTCTACGAGGAAATGTTGCCTGTCTACTCACACTAAGCTTCTTGTAACTTCCTAGGGCCACACTCTGAACAGACAGCCAAGGTTACCCAGAAAATTGAGTAATAATTGAGCAAAGCTTCTAACATGACATACTCAGCAGCATGTAAACCAACCAACAAAATAAAAGGAACTAATTGAAACAGTATGGTAGTTAAATTTGTATGTCAACTTGGCTGGGCCTGGTTTGAGTGGTTGGGCAGCTGGTGGTAGTTATTCCCCATGATGAGACTGGCAATCAACCCCATGGTGGGATCTACCACAAACAGCTGAGAAGCTTCGTTAGGGATATGGTCTGCTTACTGTATATAAGCAGAAGCCTTGGGGAATGGTCTTTAGCTTCTGGCATGTTTGAACCCTGTATGTAGCCATGTCGTTGTTCAGCAGCTGACCTTGGGACTTTCAATGGACTTGAATTAATGGCCTGACGTGGTTTGGTAACATTGGGACTGTGCCATTTTACTTGTCCACCTTGGGCTTGAAAGCCTCAGCAGCTGTCCGAGTGAAGAGATGCCTCTAGCTTCAGTGGGCCAGGAGCAAGAGGCAGAGCTGAAGCCCAAAGTCAAGGGGCTTTCACCCAGCCCCTAGAGCCTGGCACTTGGAACTCGGACTTCTAGCCTCCTGAACTGTAAAAGAATAAACTCCTATTTGTTCAAGCCATTCCATTTATGGTATTTCTGTTACAGCCATACTAGATAACCACAACAAACAGATATAACGCAGGGAATTGGGGGGGTGGGGTGGGGATCAATAATCCTCATATAAAATATAACCATAAAATGAGAATAGGATATTATTTAAAAAAAAAAAAAAAAGGAAAAGAGAAGACAAGCTAATTCTCAGAAATTAAACTCAATAGAATATTGGAGTACCTATAAAAATAAAAATAAAAAAATAGATGATTACTAACTCCAGGAAAAAGAATGAAATTTTACAAGAATTATAATCATAGTACACGTTTTGGCTCTAGACTAAAAAAATTGTAATTTTAATAATATATATAGCAGTTTTTAATTTAACTACAATTTGTGATTTTACTGTTTTAGATTGGAAAGGGAATGTAGAGGGTGTGCAAGAGCTAAATCCTCATCTATTACTACAAGAAGCTGGTAACAAAATAAGAGCAATGTAAGTGTGTCATTTAAAAACATAAAAACAGAGGCGGGGCAAGATGGCGGACTAGGCAGAAAGATTGCACAGACCCTCTTCAACAAAGAAAAGGGAAACCAATTAACACAGACACAGAAGATAATCTTGGACCCCTGAGCCTTGAAGGA